TAAATTATTTATCAACCATAAATTTTCATAATTGTTGTCAAACGTTCAACTATAGTATAATTTTTATACATAGTATACTTAGTATCAAAATTTGATACATTTATGAACGATATTATTTTCCATAATTTTCATCGTGTAAATTCTTTGAATAGTTTCAGATGATATAGATGAGCTGAGTCCATCTTTATACAGCTATCAAACAGACCAGGAAGAGAATAAGAAATTTCTGTTGGCATTCTCCAATTGTGGAATTGAAACTGCTGTTGTTGATAGAGCTGCAAAAAAGGAACGTATCAAACAGTGGATCCAATCTAGTGTCATCGAAGAAGAAGACGAAGAGGATTCTAGTGAAGGAACCACTAAATTAAGTTTATCACGTAAGGGTAGCAACGACACTGAAGAAAACGAATTATACGCATTGACCAAACGTGAAGGTTAAATTTTTATTGCAGGGGTTCCTATTCAAAGGTTAAATATATATATGAGACTGTAAAAAATGTTGGCATATATTAACATAAATTATATATATGCGTGTGTATATTACATGCATCATACTTTTATCATTAATATAATTTAAATTTAAAAAATGTGTACCAATAATTATATTTATTGTAATTTTTTTWAAATTATACCATTGCTCCATAATATATACTATATGTCCTTTATTTTATATACATTTGGGCATAAACCATGGTCAGTAATCGTCTATATCGAATATATTTCATAGTAACTGGTAAGACAAATATTTAATTAATACATTTTAGTTCAGCCTGAAAAATATATTATTTATAACAACAATAATTTAATTATAATATTTTTAAATGTATATTTGAAATAAATTTTTTATTTTTATAATTGTCTGCCTATAGGTATATTAAACGTACCTATATTTTAATAGAATATATTATACAAAAATGTCCTTAAATTTAAAATAATAATAATATTTATATATATTATAATGATTCTGTTTTAACCTGATGGCTGTCAAGCAATATAATATATTTTAGGTATTATATTATTATATAATGGTGCCAATGGTAGTATCTACCTAATTATCATTTTAAAATTATACAGCTTATACAGTTAYTAGACATTTAATCACATAGAGAATTTTTTTATGTTGTCACCCATTGTGCACTTGGCTGGTAATTAACGCTGTCTTGAGTCTAGAACTTGGTTATTTTTTTTRTTAAAAAAAAAACAAATTAAATATCATATTATATTCATAAAAATTGTTAATACAACATTATTTGTTCGAAGTATGTCTTATTTATTACTGTAATAAGTTATACATTTAATTAGTTAGAGATGTATTAATGCAATATTGTATCGTCCATTTTTAAATAGGCTATTTATAGGCTATATATAAATATAACTATATCGCTAAACTGATCAAAAAGGTATACGAGTATAATGGGTAATAAATATATATATTTTAGTTGTACATAATATACGCTCGGCAACATAGGCAACAAGGGCTTAAATCGAAATAATTTATTACATAATAATTGTGTAGTTACTAAATGTAAGTGTTAATTATATTTTTGTTTGGAGGTTGGCGGCTGTAATGAACTGGATGATATTTGCTATTGATTGAGGGTGATAGCTTAGTATTTCTGGTACCTAGTGATTTGGGAAGGTTGTGTCTTGTTCGAATATTGTGGAATTGTTCAACATTCGGTGAGGATGAATGGGTAATATTAATTTAGCGTTAAAAATGTAAATTAATATTTGCAATTCGCGTTCCGAAAAACTATTAGATATAAATATATATTTAAATTGAGTATTGTTTAATGTTGTCTATTCACTATTGAATGATATTTTTAAATAATATTTCTAACAACAGTAGTTGTTTTGGTGTTTTTAAATATCATTATGAAAATTTAAATATGATTATATGAATTCTGTGTATATACCTACCTAATAGTGAGTAAAATAAGAGACCATAAAATATCGAAGAGTGTAATAAAATTGCCACAAAGACAACTTTTTCATTAAAATGTAATTTTACATCACTATTTATTGAATATTAATAATCTACGAATGTATACCTAACTATAAAGTTGCGCAAGCTTATTTAGTGTGGTGTGTGGATATTACTACCACTATTTGRAATTTTAACTTTTAGCCCTTTCACCGCTAATACCGAGGGTCACATCACACGATTACGTAATAATTATTTACASTAAAAAAATCGTTAACATTTAGTATAATGGCGTATATATAATAATTATTATATACCTAGCTATATACAGTGYAGTAAATTCGATCAATCCCATTCTAGATAAATTAAGTAACTGTCCGGTACTACCAGTACACGCACGAAAGCTAAGAGTACGAAAATTCAAATTGAATAACTCCATTGAATAAATGATAGGTATTTCTCACAGTATTTAGTTATGTATGTTATATTGTTGAAAAAAAATCTTATGTAAATATAGATAATAGATATTGATTTATAATTATAGGGTTTTTACTTTTTAAATAACTAGTATGAGTACGGACCATGGGTAATTATTTAATTTTGCAGTATCCTAAAAAGTTTTTTTTGTTAAACAAACATTTCTTATAATATTTTTAATGAGTTGTTATAATTATTATAAAATGTCACTAAGTTGAACTTAATAAATTGTTTGTATTGTTAATATTAATTACGGTATAACTATAGAAACCTCTGCATGTAGGTAGTTAAAAAAGTTAATAAAAATGAAAATAGACTTCTTGTTTTTTTTTCTGATATATAACCGAAATAATTTTAGTGAAATTACATTAGGTATTCTTCATAAATTACTTATTCATACATTTATCAATTTAATGTTTAATTTTTAATTATAATATAGATAACTTGTTTGTCTTGTTTTAATTTAATTGAAGCACCTATGAGGACTGCGTGTATACATATATTTGCCGTACCTATATATATATATACGTATCCTAATCACACGTTACAGCCACTGCAGAACTACCTATATAACATATAATTATATATTATATGTAATATTATGTGAAATAAAAAATGATTGTCTAGGTTTCGACTTCGATAGGTAAAAAAAAAGCCATCCAAATCAAACATTATAATGAAGTGAACGAGAATAAAAATCCATATTTTACTACCCTAACAATATCGCATAATAATGTTGCAGGTATTTAGAAAAACGTTTCAGTTATTTTGACCTTTGTCGGGGTCAAAATTGTAATCACTCGTATTATAATAATTCTTTAGTGGGTATACCTACTGCAGCTATATTGACGGCGATACGCGGCGCCACGACCTGCAAGTCTGCGTACTTGGATCTACTTGCGGACTTATTATTATCGTCATTCATAAACGCCATACCGGTACGGTTGGCACGACTGGTGGCGTTTCGCCCGGAACTTACACCCGCGTCCGTCCCAGCAGCGCCAACTCCGCGGGCGTCGTCGTCGTCGTCGTCGGCGGTGGGGTCTGCGACGGCAGCTTTCGTGGTGGCGCGGCGCCCGACCGTCAAACGCGCACCAAACTCTTTATGTGGTACGCTATCACCGTCGCGGCGCCGTCATCGAACATATTATAATATTAATATAACAATTTTATTCGTTCGTCGGTACACCCTGTTTCGTAGTATACGCGCGCACGTTTATAAATACACACACACACACACATACGATCGCGAGGAAGTTTGTAAACACGATATTATTATTATTATATTTAAAGTGTACTGCAATAACAGTCACGTACACACACACACACACCCACGAATATTTTTATTTATATATCTACATACACGCAGTGTACGCACACATCACACCACGAGCAAGTGCATTTCATTATATCCGGTATTGTTCCGCCGGAAGTATGAATGGCGCTAAATGCGCCGCGTGCCTTGCCGCCGTCCTCTTCGTACTTTTCGCGTTCGTCGTCAAAGGTATTTGTCACATAATAATATAAATCGAATTTAATTAGTTGATACGTACAATGTATTATGATTGTCTATATTAATGCTGCACATGGCACTCGATCGTTTAGGA